CTGTGGCAGAATGCTTCCCTTTATAAAGCAATAATATGGGGGAAAAGTAGAAAGTGGATAGTCAGCATTCCCAGATCCCCTGTAAAATAAAATGGAAATGTACATACCCTTCTGTCAAGGCCTTGATCTTGGACAAAATTATATACCAAACAACTGGCAAGGCACGTTCTGAGGGATACATATACATTATTATGCATGAACTTAACAAAGTATTGATCACTCTAAGTGGAACAGATGGAAACAGCCATTTTTCTGGATTCAGGATATTGAATTATGAGAGGTCAGGGAAAAATTCTCACTGACAGGTCAAAACAAAATTATTTAAGAAACAATATAAGATAGCAATGATTTTATGTATGACATATCTGGTTGTTTTTGCCTCCACACATTTTTTTAAGGATTTGCAAACATAATAGATGACTGACATTGAAAACATTGATTTGAAATTAAAAAATCTCTGTTATTTCACCTTTTATTAAAATTATTTATAACATGTATTTTAATTCATTATATGTAGTGATAACAAAATGTTTTCCATATATTCATTTTATCTTCTTATTAGTTATTAATATAACAACATTTTTGTACTTTTTACATGTGTAAAACTCAAATACTTTCGTATGTAGTATATCCTCGTATTGCTCTATGTGAAAGATTTTCCACTTCTTCCCCAAGTTGTACAATATATAAACTAGACAGAAGTATACTGTGGCCCTGATCTATTCAGAAATATTAGTTAATAATAGTGTATTCAGACGTTTAACTTTTTACAAACTGCTTGATTGCTCTCTACATTGGCATTGCCTTCCTACTCTCCAATTTTTGCTGGCATTTTATGTGATCTTTCTGACATTTTGCATTCATATAAGCCTGTGCTATATAGTCCTTATGTCTTTTGCCCAAAGCAAAATCATCAAATTTCAGGAAAATCAGGAATGAGGAAAAGGGTTTAGAAACTACTCAGAAGGATTCTTCTTTTTATGGAAATTCTGATAAAAATTATATGTAAGGTTTAAAGATCATGTGGCTAAATAAACACATAGTCAGGGTCAAAGAATGTTTTAAATTTCATTAATGACAGCTCTTGAGAGTGTTTCAATAGGATCATTGGCTGAGAGATATGAAAGTTTATGGTGAGGCAAAGACTATGATGTACAGAAAGTTGTGCACATAGTCTTCTAAGAGCTGATTGCTAAATTTTAAGGATTTGGTCAGGCCACTTATTAAGTATGGCCTTGACTGAAATGTAAATTGCATGAATTCACAGTTAAATTAGGAGAAGGTACTAAATACTCATGAATCATGACTTCCCAATGATTTTCTATATTTTTTTTTATTAATTATACCCTTGAGATCATGTGTTTTGTGTCTGAGAATAAATACAAGATAGTATCTGGTGGAAGTGACACATAAAGCTGTGTTACCTTCTGTGCACTGCTTTCCCATTCTGTGTTGTGATATTAGGTCAGTGGCTTGGAATTAGTCATAACAGAGACATGTACAGCCTGACAATCAGAAAATGCTATAAATCAGGCTTTTTGTTTGTTTTTCAAAGGTTCAAATGTTAATTGGGCATTTGCTGGGTTACCTCTACATAAAACATTTGAGGAAGGCCACTTTAAGGAAAAGAAAACCATTGACAGCTAAGCTAAGCAATGACTGATAAAGGAAGGTCAAGGCCACACAGGCTGGGCAGAAGTTATCTAGTGTGCTTTTCTCTGGGGGAATACTGCTGGATGTTGAACCCAGGGTCTTTGCTAAGCATACACTTTTCCACTGAGATACAGTCCTAACCCCTAGTGAATATGCTTGTCAAAATAATATATCCCATAAACAAGCAGAAGTAGAAATAGCAGAAAGTGTTGAGTTGATTTCTTTGGCTTTAGGATCTAGGCTAGAGGGTTGAGAGTGGTTGAACAGGTTGTAAAGAGTAGTGAATCCAAGAGTAAACCAATGTACTACAAGAAAAGGGTGGTTTGGAAGCAGAAACCTCAATGAGATGGAAGTCTGGGTATACCTGAGACAATCCAGAGGAAGATACAAAGGATGCAGAACTGTAAGCAGATAATAGGGTTTTAGAATTTAGTATTTAAAAATAGAGCTATTTCTTGACCCTTCAGTGTATTGGCACTCAGGAGTTTACACAAATTATGTAAATAAGTATAGAATAAAAGTTGATATATGGAATTAGGGGAAGTCAAGAGTCACTAATTTGGGTGCTAAGTATAACAAGGATGATAGCAGTAGCTGGGGTAGAGATCGGAGGATGAGGAAGGAGTTGGAGTAGAAAGCTGCCTTGAGTTGGAATAGAGAGCTCTGGAGTTCCTGGTGTTCATGATAATATTTCAGTGAGAAGGCTTTCTTTGGCCCTACCCAGGTAGGGCTCCTTTATCAGCCACTTACCCTTAGGTAATAGCTGCTCTGACTATAATTGGAGTGTACAAGGAAAAAATATTTTAATGTAAAAACTTGTTTAGTGTCTTACAAAATAAAATTAGATTAACATTCTATAGACTTTTTGGTAAAATTGAGACACATTTGTGCTAGTGAGTTTGGGACAGTGGCAGGATGTCTTGTTTTAAAGGTATTTACTTTTTCTATCCACTGATTCCCTACCACTCAGAGGACACAGCACATAATTTTTTTTTCTTCTGCTCTTTCGCATGTTCATAAACACGTAAGGCAATAGTTGCTGCTTATTTTTGTCTCTCAGATTCTTACGTGTTTTCAAGTTATTGATATTGCAGCACAGTTTTCAGAATTTATTTTAGTATTTATTATGTCTCACTCCTTTTACTATTCCCTCTAGGTGTCATTTCCCTCTTCCATCTTTAGAAAGAACATCATATTGAGCTCCGTAAAGCATTAGCTCTCAATTTTGCCTTTTCTTTTTGATACAAAGAGTATATATAAAAATCATTTTATCCTTCGGTATCACATCTTCTTATAACAGTTTCTGCTATTATTTTTCTGCCAATGTTTTGAAAGTACACTCTTAGCTCATATTTCTTAATGATGTACTCTTCAAAATGTGGGTGACATCATTGAACATATGTAATAATATTTCTAAAATCATTGAGATATTCTACTTAAAAGACTGGCAGCAGTCAGGTATAGTGGCACAATTCTATAATCCTAGTGAATCCTAAGACTGATGCAGGAGGATCACAAGTTCAAGGCCAGCCTCCACAACTTTGTTAGATGCTGTCTCAGAATAAAAAAATAAAAATAAAAAAAGGGCTGGAGATGTAGCACAGTGGTAAAGACGCCTGGGTTCAATCCCCAGTACCAACATAATATAATAAGAGCAGTAGTAGTAAAATAAAAAATGAAATGACTAGAAGTATATGTATATGATATAGAGCAGGACTTCAATAAATAACACCTAGAAGATCATTTGTTCTGTAATCTTCTATAAATATGCTAAAATGTCATAGTATCTATAGATGTAATATCTAAAATTTGAATAAGATTACCAATATGCTGCCAGTCTAAAAAGTTTTGAATCTTGAAATGAGTAGGTAGTGTATACATTTTAGAATCCTTAAAAGCACTTGTGAGACTCAAGAAATGTCTACATAGAAAACAATCAACTGTTAGTGGAAAAGGAAAGGTGTGGAAATGGCACTCTTCTAATATTCTAGGTGTGATAGCCATCACAGCTGAATTGGTAATGCATTTTTGTATAAAGGATATTCTGCTTTATTCTTTCCTCTGGGAAAAATATTCTATTATCTCTACCAAGTGATTAAACTATAGGTTTTTATTTTTGAATCTTTTTTTTTGAAATTATAAAATGTTTCCCTGCCTCAAGATTATCACTTTTAAACTTAATAACTTTAAAACCTAATAACTGTTATTGATCTTACTAAAATATCTTACTTTCTGCTCTAGTATTGCTCTCTGCAAGATTAAAATCTTAATGGGGCATAATAAAATATATTTCCTCCTCTCATTTCAGAGAGCTGCTAAGATAATCATCATGTTCTGTTGGTCAGTTTATTTAATGTTATTAGAGATGACTTGTTATGCATGTGATATTTTCTCTTATGTCTGCTCTTATCATCAAATATTACTTTGATATTATAAATTATTATGGAGGTTTATACATAATTGGTGCCATAATAATGCTTTTTGAGAGGCTGAGAAATAATATGCACGTTTACTTTTCCGTTAAAATAAATCATCATTGAAACTTGGGTTTCATATTGTTTGTGCAAAAAAATGAAAATTAATCATATGTTTTATAAGAATATTTACCACAGTCTGTGTACAATTGAACTGGCCATTAAAAAGCAGATCTATTTGTTTTCTATGTCTTCTACTGACAAAAATGGCATGAATTCTTTGTGGATTTATTTCAAGTACATAAGGTAAATTACTGTATTTTTAAGATTAACTGCATTTTTAAAAATACTTTTTTAGTTTTAGATGGACACAATACCTTTATTTTATTTGTTTATTTATATGTGGTGTTGAGGATCAAACCCAGGGCCTCACACATGCAAGGCAAGAGCTCTCCCACTGAGCCACAACCCCAATCCCAAGATTAACTGCATTTTTAATGGGAGTGTATCCAAAATTTTGAAATAGAAAAATGACTGATTTTCCCCACGTGAAAACAACAATTAAAAGCTATTGACTAAACTTGCTTTTAAATGTGTAAAAGAATCTGTAGTTTTTGCTTAAAGACTGTTAGTTTCTGTGATATTTTGGAATATCTAAGCTTCTTTTACAGAAAACAGTCTTTTACAAAAGTATCTAATCCCATTCTAGTGGTGGTTGCTAGGAGAACATTGGATGCAAATTGATCAGTAAACATCTAGCAGCCAGCTACCTGAGGGGAATGGGAGTGGGAGAGACTCAGAAGCTGGCCAGCAGGGAAACTGCTGATGGAAAAATGCCAGTCAAGAGCTTTTTTATACATACCAGTTGCATCACACTGTGATCTGATCTTTTCTTTTCTTTCTTTCTTTCTTTTTCCCCCTATCATTCTTGTAGGTAAGGAGGGGGGAATATCAGAAAAAAAAAATAGAAAAACAAATGAGGTCTTTCCAGAGAAGGTGAGCTTTATTTATTTTTTATTGAACTTTGACAAGACAGCAAGGATTGGATTAATTAATGAGTGAAGATTAGTGAAACTGGTGTAGGTTCTATACTACTACCTAAATATTCATACTTAAAACTTTACATCATGTATTCTATTTGAAAATAATGTTTCCATAAATAACAACAAAACAGTTCAGGTGTGAAAAATGGTCTTCCTTATCCTGAAATTCACCTTTGAAAAAGATCCTACAATATTGGAGGAAGAATGAATCATAACTACCTTGCTGTTTAAAAATTTGAATTTTACTTCAAAATATCAACAAAATAAGAATATATTTGTTTATTAAATTTTAATTCAATTATGACAAATTATGTAATTTTAATGTATTCTTTTGGTTATTGGTGGAATACTCATCTATGAAATTCAAGTATCAGTCCTGGTTAAGCTGAAGAAGTTTGAAAACCAGGAACAGTTATCTGCATATATGGGACCTGAAGTTTGCCTTAATTCCTAACCTTCACTTCTTTCATTTTTTTTAACTATTGAAGAAAATTGAAAGTGAAACTATATACACACTTTTACTTTGCAACAAATTGAGAAGGATGTAGATGCTTTAGACTGATAAATATCTATGAAAATACATCAACTCCCCTCTTCTCTCTCTACCCCATCTACTGTAATTCATTTCTCTCCTAAAGGTAGCAGAATACAACAGTTACTAATAGGGCATTGTGTAAAAATGTAGATGTGTAACCGTCGTGATTCTGCAATCTGTATTTGGGGTAAAATTGGGAGTTCAAAACCCACCTGAATCAAATGTATGAAATATGATATGTCAAGAGCTTTGTAATGTTTTGAACAACCAATAAAAAATAAATAAATAAATAAATAAATAAATAAATAAATAAAAACATACTTATATAAGAACTTAAAAAAAAAAAGAAAATACATCAACTCAATAGAGTAGAGAGGGGGGAACCTGGAGGGAGGAAGGAAGAGAAAGGGGAAGTATTAGGGACTGAATTAAAGCAAATTATATTCCATGCTTTTATAATTATATCAAAATGAATCCTAAAGTTATGTATAACTAAAAAGAATTAATAAAATAAAAAATTAATATATAAACATAAAAAGTATAAAGGAAATGCATAAAACATGTTTATTAGTTGTACATAGACTCACTCAAATATTTTTATAAAGAGAAAAAAATGGTGTGGGTAGAGTTTATTATTTTTCTAGGGAAAACCTTTAAAATTTACTATAAAGAAGTTGAAATTTTATATGTCTTACCTTTTAAATGATTTTCACATACACATATGATGTGAATTTTAATCTAATTAGCAGCTAAGTCATGAATTCTCTTTAGAATCTTGCCATACATTATGCTTGATTAGTTTCAAGATAGTAAGATTATTTCTCTCTTTTATAAAATTCTGATTTAATTTGCAGGTCCATTTTTAAGTTACCTGGCAACAATTTACATAAAACATTATCATCTTTTACTTTCAGTCTTCTTTTGTAAGATTCAGGATAAATAATCTACCCATATGTAGAGTAAAATACATAACCGGTATGGATGCCAGGGTCTATGAGCTCAACTTTGGGGATCACGTCCCTGACCCCAAGAAAATTGCCAACTGTTTTCTGCATTCCCATTAAAACAAACACATGAAACAGTTAGTAGAGATGACACATTTTTGGAATAGAGCATGTCCTGGAGGTATCTGGAAACAAGAGTGTTTGGAAACAAGAGTATTCTATAGGAACCAAGCTGGAGGTGAACATGATGAAGGCTGAAGGAGCAAGAGGAGTGTCTGGAGGAAGCTGTAGAGCCTTATAGCTATGATTCCTTTCACAATTAAGTATTGGAAAAGCAACTGATATTGATTTGCTTTCCTAGGATTTTGCAAATAATATTGAACTTACTCATTTGTTGTTATGTTAACACAGCATCTATTCAAACAGAGATAGCTTTACACAAGAAAACTAAGTAATGATTGTGCTTAATAAAACGCAATTATGATATGTTAAAATATATGAATTATATATGTAGTGAGGTCCAGCTGTGGAAATTATATCTACACAAGCACAAGCAGTTTGTAATCAAAGGTAATGGGAGAGTTCTTTTAATAATATTTTATTGAACTACTACTTACCTAAATTAATTATCTTTCAAAATAATGTCATTACTATTGTTTTCAAATACATGTGTAAAAAGATAACAGAAAACTGAAAAATTGTAACACCTAAGTACTGAACTAAGCTTCTTTAGTACCTCATATAATAAACACACACATACATTATTACTAGACTTTTATTTTACCTATTTTTTTAAGGGAAGGCTAGTTTATCTTAGTGCTGAAATTCTCTTATATTTGACCATATGAAATTAGTCTTTATTGAGTGTTGTAATCTGGATATAATAACAATGTGTATATGAAATTTATTTGTCAGGAGGTTTATGATATCCATGTATAGTCCATATTTATTTTACTGTAAACTCTCTCTAGGGTGCTGGTGCCTCACAGGCACTGCCTCAAACTTTCCAAAGTCTGAACTTTCCTATATTTGATTCTCCTACAATGTGTCTCACAGAGTTTAGTGACATAACACTTTACCTAGGTCTGCAAAATAGGTGTTTTGGCATCCTGCTTAATCAACATCTCTGAGAGCCATTTGATCTCCATTTTATATTGCACACTTCTGAATTCAAAACTGTAGTGGTTAGCCAGGCGCAGTGGTGCACACCTGTAATCCCAGTGGCTCCAGAGGCAGAGACAGGAGGATTGCAAGTTCAGAGCCAGCTTCAGCAATGGTGAGGCCATAAGCAACTCAGTGAGACGCTGTCTCTAAATAAAATGTAAAAGTAGAGGATAGGAAAGTCAGCAGAACACAACAGACACTAGTATGGCAATATGTAAATCAATGGATGTGTAACTGATGTGATTCTGCAATCTGTATATGGGGTAAAAATGGGAGTTCATAACCCACTTGAATCAAAGTGTGAAATATGATATATCAAGAAATTTGTAATGTTTTGAACAACCAACAATAAAAAAATAAATAAATAAATAAATAAATAAATAAATAAAATGTAAAACAGGACTGGGGATGTGACTCAGTGTTTGAGGGCCCCTAAATTCAATTCCCAGTTAACACCCCCCAAAAAAAGAAAAACACATACAGACAAAAAACTATAGTGGTTAATTTTATGTGTCAATCTGATTGGATTATGAGATGCCAAGACATTTGGTCAAACCTTATTCTGCCTGTTTCTGTGAAAGCATTTCTAGATTAATATTTGAATTGGAAGATTGATGAAAGTGGATTGCTTCCCTAATGTGGGTGCTCCCATCCGACCACCTAGAAGCCTGAAAAGAACAAAATGGCTGGCACTCCCTCTAATAAGAGGAATTTTCCTTAAACTAGGATAATATTTTTTTTTCCTGTGTTCAGATTTGAATTGAAACAACCACTTGTCCTGCATTGTTTTGTTTTGTGTTGTTGTTGTTGTTGTTGTTTTTATTGTTATTGTTTTGCCTTTGTTGTTGTTGAATTTTCCCAGGGTCTTGCAATTGCATATGCTATGCAAATGCTGTTTCAGGGAGCTACACTCCCAGTCCTTTGTAATTTTGTTTCAAAATAGGGTCTGAATTGTCCAGGTTGACCTTGAACTTGTGATCCTGTTGGCTCAAACTCCTGAATAGCTGGGATTACAGGCATGTGCTATCATGCCAGCTTTGCCCTGGATCTTGACATTACTTGCCTCCAGACTGGAACTTACACCATCAATTCTTCTGCATCTCAAAACTTCAAACATGGACTGGAAGCAAATCATCAGATGTCCTGGGCCTCTTGTTTGTAGACTACAGATCTCGGGACTTGACAGCCTACATAATCATGTGAGTCAATTTCTTATAATAAATCTCTTTATATGGAAGAATATATTTAATGCAAATTCTAACACTTACCTTGTGGATGTCATAGTACTCTATTACTGAGTTTTACCTTCTCACCCTTCCCATGTATCTTGCACACAACTGCCACATGTCTCATAAATGTAAATATCTCCAGGCCTTTCCCTTGATTATAATTTTTACTTGGTTCCTCATCCATTTCAGGATTAAATCATAACTCCTGGTATATCAGATAAAGTACCTCCATGATCCAGACCTGATGTGTTAGTCCCAGGTTTTTTGCTTCCTTCCAGAAAAACCTTTAAAGTTCAAGTTTCCTGAAAGAGATTTCCTTGAGCTCCAATATTTTTGCACATTTGACTCACTGTACCTGTGAGATCATTTCTCCCACTCTCCCATTGTCTTGTCTAAAACTATTCTTCCATAACACTTGACTCATGCTGTGTTTCCACTTGGAAGCCTCTGTTTAGTTCCTTCTCCTCCCTCATGTGTATGTTCTTATAGCATGAGTTTGTAATAGTTGATGCTTCACATGTATATTTCAGATAAAATCCTTGAGGAGTATACTTTTATCAAATATCAAATTATTTACTAAGTGCTAAGAACAGAACATATAGTAAGTATTCACTAAAGCTCTGCTGAATAAATTAATGAATGAGCCTCATCCATATCAATGAATTTCATCTTTTTAAGCAAACGCTTTGATATCAACATAGAAAAGTCATTTCAGAAATTCACCTAATTCTAAATTTGGTTCTCTCTCTCTCTCTCTTTTTAATTCTTTATTTACCCTGCCAGAACCAACTTGCTCTATGCCTGCAGCAACTGACATTTATGAACTTCATTAATGGGATCTCTTACCCTCTGGCCTCAGATTGGTTTCAACTGATAGTACGTACAGGGAAAAGATTGGAAGAGGAAAGTTAAAGGAAGTTAGGGTTTTACTCCCACAACACCCTCTCATCAAACCTTAAATTGGCAGCAAATGCATTCCTTTCTCAAAGTTCTGTGTGATGCTCTCCTGAGGAGTAGTATCTGCTTCCCCCCTTTGCCCTTTAGGCCTGAGTTGGCAACAGCACTCTACTAGTATCCTGAGAATACATTACCTTCTTTTGCTGGTTTCATATAAGGTTGTTCACTCCTTGGTTAGAAACAACAACAAAAAACAACAACAACAACAACAACAAAAAAAAACACTTCCCTAAACTTTTCTCAATTACCACATTGAGCAGTACGATTGGGTCTCTGTCAGAACCATGACAGATACAATATAAATCCTTTTTTCTCCTGAAACTTATTTTAGTACTCCAACATGATACCATAATAACTGCACCATTTAGATCATGGATTGGGATCATCAAATGCATTAAATGTTACCAGCAAGTTTACAGTAGGCCAAGTCATATCATCATGGGAAATCTAGAATTATTGCAAGGTGATTGAAAGCATCTTGCAGCTTTAAAGTACTTTTCAGTTTAAAAGATGGTTTAAATTTAGCTCAGGGTGCAACTCAGTGGTAGAGTAGTGGTGTAGCATGCACAAGGTCTTGAGTTCAATTCCTAGCACCGCAGAAATAAATGAAGAAAAAAATTTAACTCATTATCTGATGAATAAATGCCTATTGTAAAAACTGTAGAAACACTGATAATATACAGTTTTTAAAGACTCATTTTGTTAAAATTTTCCAAAATAATTTATATGAAAGTTATTCTTATGTTAAAAATTAATTGTCTTATTTGATGCTACTTTGGAATATAATGTTACCCAACTGAATTGCCAGTAAAAATGACAATTATGGCCACTTGTGCTTCCCAAATCTCTGGTAGTGCCTCAGGAGAGAGTGCAGGTTAACTCTCAAGGTGGCCATTGCAACTTGAGCACCTTTGAATGAGCTCAAAAAAGCTTTGAATGCTTTTTTGCCCACGCTAAATGTAAAACTTGGATAAATGGCATTCTCTTGAGTGTTGCAGACAATGTGTATATTCCCATGTAGTGCAAAAGCACTTCCAGCTCTGTTCTATAGACACTGTATTTTGGTCCTCTGCCATGAGGGAGTGCTTCTGAAGCTCTTTAGTGCATTCCCTAGAAGGAAAGCACTAATGCTACTCTTGATCCTTCAGAGTTGTTATATTCCTGTATCTGAATCCCAAACAATTGCTAGAGTATCCAGGGTAGTTTGGCACATGTTGTAGATGATGGTACAATAATATTTTATTCTGCACTTTTGCTACTCTATTAAAAAATATGAAAATGATATATGCAGGAATGAAAAAAAAGTGGAGAAATACACTTTAAAGATAGAACATTTTTGACAAAGGAGAAATTTTGTTTTGGGAAATCCATGCAAACAAACTGGTACTGTCTTCAATGCTATCAGATTCTAGAGGTCATATTATCTTATGCATTTAAGGTAAAAGGAGCAGTAAATTGCACCTGAGAACTACTATTCACGAAAACTACATTTAGAGGATTTAAAGTTCCAGATGTTTCTTGTAGAAAAAACTCAGTTTTATGAGCTTCTCAGCTTCATGTTATATATATCTAAAGTGCACTCAAAGAATACATCTGACAGGATTCTTTATGGTGATTCTTCTTTGAATATAATGCCTTGTGTGCATCTGGTAGGATGCTCAAAAGACACTTTTTAAGTTTGTCATTTAAATTTGATAAAACTACAGCAAGAATGGTCTCTGTACAGTTTTGGAGTCCCTAGTACTTTTTCTATGTGTATCATCCTGTGCCCACATTATTGTAATAGTAAAGTGATGGCAGAAGAAAAGGGGAATTAAATGCCCGAGCTCTCTCTGTCCCTTGTTATCTCAGGACTAGTTTGAAAATGTAGTGTCCTTAAAGGTCTCAGATGCAAATTCAAGTTTAATGACTGAATTTTTTCCCCGGCCCTGTTAATTCCACAATGAAAAATTGCCAGATGCATTAGAAAACTCTAAGTATACAGTAACAATTTCTGCAGGAATATGGGCAGTTCAGTTCTTATTTCCCTTGAAACAACCTATGTATCAGCTAATCAAGGTACATTATTGACAATAAATTATATTTCCTATAATTAGACCCAAACTGAAGTGTCTCAGGAGAAAAGATGAGGAGGCATGGAGGCAGAACTCCAAGGGTGTTTCAAGTCACTAACAGTCAGGGGTGATATTCAAGTATGTACTGGTATTTGATATTGAGATATTTACTTGATATTCAGGTATTTACTTCCAGCTATAGTTTGGTTCTGACTGGTCTGTAAAGTAGCAGTGTTCAGACATAAGACATTTGAGAAGTAATTGGATCATGAGGACTCTGACCTCATGAATGTATTAATCCATTGATTTATTCATAACAAAGGGTTTTGGGGATTGAGGTCTTGTTATATAAATGATCTCTCTCTCTCTCTCTCTCTCTCCCTCTCTCTCCCCCCATTACCCTCTGTCTCTCTTTCTCTCTGCTTCCTGGCTACCATGAATCTTTTCTCTACCATGTGTTCCCCAACTTAGTGCTCTGCCTCACCATAGCCACAGAAATGATGAAGCCAAGGAATCATGGACAAAATAAATCCTGTGAACCAAAATAAATCTTCCTTTCAGTTGATTTTCTCGGGTATTTTTGTCACAACAACACAAAGTCAACTAACACATCTCCCACCTTAATATGTAAAAACAAAATACCTATTAGAGAAGCTGCTCAGCAAGTTAGTCTGGTTACAACAGGTATCAGTACCTTCTGGGTGATTATTGGTTTTAGTAGAAAATGGTATTTATTCTTCCTCAAAGGGAGACTTTAAAAAATAGCATTTAGATATCAAAAATTAACAAAGAAAAAATTCCATTTCCATATCAAATCATGCATAGTTTCTGGAAACTGGCATCTACTTCTTTTTTACCCACTGGTAAAGGTCCTTTCCAGGAGGTTTATTCACCATTGTCCCTTGGTGGGATTGTATCTCTAATCTTCCTTGTAGGCTGCTCTTAACAAAACTATTTACTGTTCTTTATTGATGGGCTCATGCATCCATGAATCCAGTACCATGCCATAGTCTATAAAACTCTTTATAAGCTGTCTTTTGACAAAGAGAAGCCTGTAAATTTCTCCTCATTGAGGTCAGGGCATATGATGCACATAAGTTCCTATAGCACTATAAAGTCAGTTGGTTCCAGATTGTCTTACAAAATCCAACTTGCTGTAGGTGACCAGTTTGTTGAACTGCAGTTGGGATCTCTGGAGAACCACAAAGTGTGCTAGACATAGCTTTTGATTCTTTTCCAAGTAAAACTTGTTCTTCATTCAGTTTTACTTTAAGACTTCTTTGATTGAACTAGAAGCAGGTAAGCCTCACTCCTCAGAGTAGGTTCTAACCAAAGTATTTTGCCAACTCTTCTTAGAAATAAGTGCAGCACTCTTTCCAAATCCTTGCTTTCGACTTAAAAAACAATGGTAAGTCACACCTTTATAAGAAACAAAATCACATCAACTAGAGGGATGATTCTACTTTCTGGAGCTGACAAGAAAACTTGTTTTGTTTAGTATTTTAGTATATTTATTCAGTTTTTAAAAAATTATGACATCCTTACAGAAAATTCTTACATGATAGTGTATGATTTAGCATTGTGCAATGGATAGTTCCTAGTTCACACATGATCTAGAATAGAGGTCAATAAACCTTTTCTGTAAAGGGCCAGATAGCAAATATTTTGTGCATTGTAGGTCATATAGTATTTATGACAACTAGTGGACTCTGTCATTAAAAAAGAATAGTTATAACTGTGTTACAATAAACTTTTATTTATAAATAAATAGTCTGAGCCAGATTTGGTTCATGAGACATTGTTTATAGATCAAGATAGATAGAGAAGTCTGGCTTTAGAAATGCAATTCATAATAATTTTCCAGCCAAATATCAGTCAGGAACAATGCTGTCCTCAGGATTAACTTCTCAATGAGTGTATAAATTAAATTTATAAATGAAATTTAATGACACATAGTGA